ATTATATCTCTCAAAAGATTACACAATGTTATGATATTTTAATATTTTGATAACTATACCTAAGCATAATTGGTTTCATATATACACATATATATTGCTTTTAAGTAGATTTTTTTTCTGAGAAGGGGTCCATGACACAAAATGTTAAGAACTTTAGTAGTGATTAAATGGTATTTTTGTCTTCTTCTGAATAAACTGCATGACACCAAAGTTGCAGTTTTTCATGCAGGTAAGATCCAAGTCATAATACTGTCTATCCCTCTAAGTAAGTATTAGTTAATCATATTAAATAGTTAATCAAATTAAATATAAAATTGCATTTTAAACACTGCCATCACCCTACTATTTATGTCCTGCTTTAATAAGTAATATTTTTACAACCTCTTATGCTAAGGAATGAAATGGCATTCAGAAAGCTATTCTTATGTGCCATCAATATTATATGAATGAGCAAAAACATATTATTTAAACACTTTAGGTGGTGTTAAATCAGTGCATACATAGAGAACAAGAAAAGCATATTTCTGATGTTAACTGACAGCAGTAACAAAGGAAAGTGAGCAACTAGTGCTATAAAATCAAAATACATAATCTCAATTTCCCAAATATTTTGACCACATAAGATTTATGATGCCGTTATCAGCGTACTGGAACTTGGATTTTTACATTGTTCAATTAATGATGCAAAAAAATAGTACTATCTGCTTGAAAACAGTAATCTGGAAATCAGTAATCACCTTGGAATAAAGTGTTTTATAACTGTTATTAAGACTGTGGTTAAATTGTCCATATTAATTGACAGAATGGAAAACATTTCTATTTCAAAGCTGCATTGAATTCCCCTGACCATAAGTCTCAACCATCATTTCTTTTGACCTCTGATGAAATTCTCTCCTCCCTTGCTAAAGAAACAAACACTTCCAGAAGATGCATTCTTAGCATCCAATTGTATCCTTTTTTCCAACACACATTGATCTGCTAATCATTCTTCTTCTTATAAACCACTACTGGTAACTAGAACTGCTGCTGTTCCAATTACTCAGGGGCAGGCCAGAAAAAAACTTATTGGGAAACTACCTCTTGCCAATAAGTCATGTCATCCTTAAATCTCCAACAGACAGATAATTTAAAAGGAGGAGTGTGAAGAGTACAAAATGATTGCCAACTATTTTGATTTTTACAAGAGCAGTTCTAACAATCTCCAGCTTTGGAACAAAAGCTGTCCTATTAGAAGGACAGAGAATAGTCTTTAATTTTATAAAGAATTGACAACATAACAGTGACAAATAATTGAAAAATTTATGCTGTGTAATCCAAAAACACAATAAACTTTCCTATTATAATTGCTATATTCTTGATTTTACATTGTAAATCCACTATTATCTCAGTTGGGGATTATCCCACAAACACAGCCAATAACCTTAGCATCCTTTCTAACTGCTTCACCCTTTTCTTCATAGTGACAGTGCCGGATAGGAGAGAACCATTTTGCACATGAAGCTGTCTACCAAAATTTAAGGATTAATTTAATTAAGTCTCCCTTACATTATTTCAAACCTTCCTGTTTGAGAGAGGAGACTACTGACAATTCACCTACTCCAAACACATAAATAATAGAGGGAAGCCTGCTTGAAAAAAAATCTAAGTTTGCTGCTGCATATTCTTATGATTAACTAATTACAGGGGTGTTAAACTGCCGGCCCGTGGGCCAGAGTTGCATCATACTGGCGCCCACCCCAGCTCCGGCAATGCAAAAAAAGTCTCGATGTCGTGACCCGTCACATGACGCAGCGAGTTTGACATTCGTGAACTAATATATAGGTATTGTGTGAGTTCACACATCATTCGAAAACATTGTTTGCTTTTGGTTTTGCAACCTGCACCTCACATACTGCCATTAACTTTACAAACCCTTTAATTTCTTAGTGCACCCCTTATCTATATTGTGACAAAATTAATAGATCAACTTTAGCAGTATGCTTCATTATCCAGGATCGAGATTGGGATGCTATATTAGTTTGTTATGACTAATTAAATATATCCCCTATTATTTTGATATAAAAGAAGACAACTAGATACCTTTATAAGACTAAATGGATCCATTTTATCCTTTAAACCCAGTAATTCTTTTCCCATTCCCTTTCAATTACAATATATAGCATGCAAAGATTTAGGTTACTACTAGATAGCAGCAAAAATGTCGGGTTTTTTGGACTTTTGTTTTAACTGCCATTCAGTTGTCATCTGTATTTATCTACCATTTACCATATTGAATAACCTTACATATCCTTAAATCATCAAAAATCAAATAAATAAATGAAATATAGCCCTAAACTATACAAGATTGGTTTCTAATAAGTTAGCATGATCCATCAACTGTGCTTCTAGGCTACAATTTATGGCTTGATAATGTCTGAACCTGGCCACTATACCCTAACTAAGAAACATAGTTAAAAAAAAGGTTTGGTCACTATTATATGTGAATCCTTCACAGATTGTAAATAGATACAGGTAGTTCTCGACTTACAACAGTTTGTTTAGTGAACATTCAAAGTTACAACAGCACTGAAAAAAGTGACGTAAGACCATTTTTTGCACTTACGACTATTGCAGCATCCCCATGATCATGTGATCAAATTCAGCTGCTTGGCAGCTGGTTCATATTTACAACTGTTGCTGTATCCCAAAGTCATGTGATCCCCTTTTGAAACCTTCTGACAACTAAAGTCAATGGGGAAGCCAGATTCACTTAACAACCAGGTTACTAACATTAACTGCAGTGGTTCACTTAACAACTATGGCAAGAAAAATCGTAAAATGGGACAAAATTCACTTAACAAATGTTT